GAAACAAATTGCGGGAACAGTACCTACAGTGCCACTGGTGCCAAGTCCCTTGCCAACGCCTGCCCCGACTCCTGAGACACCTACACCACCACCAGATTCCTCTCAAGGTGATTCCATTCCTCTTCCTACTCATCCCACACCAATAACTGTACGGAGGACTACTCGCAGTAAACAGTACCTACAGTGCCACTGGTGCCAAGTCCCTTGCCAACGCCTGCCCCGACTCCTGAGACACCTACACCACCACCAGATTCCTCTCAAGGTGATTCCATTCCTCTTCCTACTCATCCCACACCAATAACTGTACGGAGGACTACTCGCAGTAATGCGGGAAATCCTCCCGATAGATATGGTTGGGATCTTGCTCAGTTTGTATCATATTCTAACATCCACCATGCACATGGAGCATTCATTGCATCTCTGGACTCTGTTACTATACCTAACAATTGGCAGGTTGCAAAGAAGGACCAGAAATGGAAAGCTGCTATGCACGAAGAGCTAAGGACTTGGGAGCTAGTAAAACTACCAGAAGGGAAGAGAGCAGTTGGATGCAAGTGGGTCTTCACTGTGAAGCAGAATCCAGATGGACAAGTTGAACGCTACAAGGCTCGTTTGGTGGTAAAAGGGTATAGTCAGACATATGGCATCGATTATGATGAGACTTTTGCACCGGTGGCAAAGATGGGCACTGTTCGGACCTTAATCTCTCTGGCAGTAAATGGTGGATGGAAGCTACACCAACTAGATGTGAAAAACGCATTTCTTCATGGAGATCTAGTGGAGGAGGTATACATGGAGATACCACCAGGATTCGGTACAGATCAGACAGTGGAAAAGGTCTGTAGATTGAAGAAGTTTCTCTATGGGCTAAAGCAGTCTCATCGTGCTTGGTTTGATAGATTCAGGAGGGTTATGATTGGTATGGGGTACCAGCAGATCAGCGCCGACCATACCGTGTTCTTTCGAAGAAGTGGAGGTCACATCACCTTGCTTGCAGTATATGTGGATGATATGATTATTACAGGGGATGATGAGAAGGAGATTGCCCAACTCAAAGTGAGACTGGGTAAGGAATTCGAGGTGAAAGATCTGGGTTTGCTTCGATACTTTCTTGGAATAGAGATAGCTCGAGGAGCGGAGGGGATCGTCCTGTCCCAGAGAAAGTATGCACTGGATCTTCTCAAAGAAACAGGAATGTTAGGATGCAAACCTGCAACTACACCGATCGACCAGAAGTTTAAGCTGGGTGCTGAAGCTGGAGAACCAGTTGATCGTGACAGATACCAAAGGTTGGTAGGCAGGTTGATCTATCTGTATCACACACGTCCCGATATCTTTTTTGCAGTGAGCGTGGTGAGTCGCTACATGCATGATCCAAGGAAGGGTCATATGGACGCAGTGTACCAGATTCTAAGGTATTTGAAGAATGCCCCCGGAAAAGGGCTAATCTTCAGGAAGAATGAACACATGAGCATTGAGGGCTATTGTGACTCTGATTGGGCTAGCTGTGCTGATGACAGGAGGTCCACCTCAGGATACTGCATCTTTATAGGAGGCAACTTAGTCTCGTGGAAGAGCAAGAAGCAGTCGGTGGTGGCGAGATCGACAGCTGAGGCAGAGTATAGAGCTATGGCCTTAGGAGTTGCTGAGTTGCTATGGTTGAAGAGTATGCTGGTGGAGCTGAAGCTGGATCAAGGAGCTAAGATGAAGTTGTGGTGTGACAACAAGTCAGCCATCAGTATCGCCAACAACCCGGTGCAGCATGATAGAACCAAACACATCGAGATCGATAGGTTCTTCATCAAAGAGAAGTTGGATAGTGGACTACTGGAGCTAAGTCATGTTCCGACTAAGGACCAGGCAGCAGATTGTCTGACTAAAGGACTTAGCTCAGTAGATATGATTAGAGGATGTGACAAGATGGGCTTAGTAGATATCTTTCGCCCATCTTGAGGAGGAGTGTTGATATATTAGTATTAGTTAGGGACTTATTTGTAACTTGTGTAGGGGCCTATATAAAGCCCAAGAGATCTCATAATGAATTAGGGTTTTCATTCACAACACAAACAACAATGTTTCTGGACAGTAAAACTAATGTACAAATGGAATTTAAACGTAGCAAAGGGATACTAGATAATTGTATGAAGAATGGTGATTTCTGCTACTATTTTTAGCTTCTTTGTTGGGCTTCATGTTAGCGAAGCTTTAGTGGAGCTGGCATCAGAGAATATAATTAGCATCACCTTACAACCAAATATGCAGATCTTTCTCAATGCCAGTGCCATAAGATTGGTTTCCATTAATTGCAATATAGAGGACATGACACTTCTATATGTAGGCTTAAGGAGTTGAGGACTTTCTTTTTCATATGTCCATGTTCACAACTATACACTTAAAATCAAATGAAGGCTTCTTACAAACTAGACACTTTCTTTTTGGCTAAATACCCATATTGGTATTTTAATTCAACCCCATTTACCAACAAGGTATTTTAATTAGGAAATTCGGCGATAAGACATTTTAATTGAATAAAATTACCATTTAGGTCCTTTTTCTCGTCGGCGACCACTTTTCCGGCGAGAACTCATCACGTGCGTTGCACGTGGGGCTTAATTTGTGTTTAGGAAGCTAATGTGGCTCTGTTTTCTGACGTGGCAGGGGCTTAATCTGTGTTTAAGAACTCATCCCCCCCTCTCTCTCTCTTTTTCTCCTTCCCGAACCCACGTCCACCGCCGCTCCTCCCCTCGACCACCGCTCCGGCCTCCGTCGCCCTCAGCCGAGGTCACCGGAGAGAAGACAGAACCGGATGAGGACTCGGGAGGACGAGATGAGTGGAAGTCCACTCATATGTTGGTGTACATCTGGCTTCTCAACTCGTTGGTCCCGACGATCGCCGTCACGGTGGATGGCATTGAGAAGGTGAAGGACGTCTGGGAGAAGGTGAGGAGGACATATGATGGAGTGGGGAATAACCTGAGGGTATTCCAGATTAAAGGAGAAATCGACGCCACAGTCCAGGGAGAAAGAACTGTACAGGAATATGCTACAGAGTTGGAGCGTCTGTTGCTGGATTATGATCATTTTCCCCCTCGGGCTAGCTGCAAGGACCCGGGATGTAAAGAGCGGGAGGCCTTTCTACAGGAGAGGACTATGGTGTTTCTCAAGGGATTGACATCAGAGTTCGCTCAGCGAATCGCATTGCTGCTAGCTCAGCCGAAGATTCCCACGCTTGAGGAGGCTGTCTCTGCTATGATCCAGGAGGAGACTCGCATTCGGCTGCAGGCGGGGACATGTGGACTTCCTGTGGTGAAGTCAGCACTGACAGCCTCTAGCAATACTGGATCTAGGGGAGAGACTCGACAGTGCTACAACTGCGGTGCGGTGGGTCATCTAAGGCATGCTTGCACCAAACCACCCAAGGAAGGAGACTCGGGTGGACGTGGACAGTTCGGAGGTCGTGGTCGTGGCCGTGGGGGTCGACGAGGTGGAAGAGGAGCAGGGAATCGGACGAATCTGACGGTAGCAGAAGAAGAAGCTGAGGTGGTCTTTACTGAGTAGGACCGTGCTCTCCTGGCGATACTAAGGAAGAAGCAACAAGTAGCAGGGGATGGAGACTTGAGGAGTGGGACTGAGGAGGCATCCACTTCGTTCTTCGCCAGAGGCAATACTGCTACCTATGCTCATCCGACCAAAGGTACTGATGACATACATGCTCTTGCTTCTATGTCTCCCAACAGATCATCAGAATGGATAGTCGATTCCGGCGCGTCTCGGCATGTGACAGGTAATGCTAGTGAGTTCTCATCATATACTCACTTAGCATCGCCTGATAGTATTCAAACAGCTGATGCTATATTTTATCCGGTGGTTGGTAAGGGTACAGTCGATTGTACTGGTTCTGTAACTTTGTCCAATGTTTTGCATGCTCCTTCATTTCCAGTCAATCTTTTGTCCATTAGTTCTATCATCCTCCAACTAAAATGCATTGTTTCTTTTGATATTCCCAAGGTGATTTTTCAGGAGAAGGGGACAGGACGGAGACTTGGGACTGGCACATGGCGTAGCGGACTGTGGTATCTGGATCGTGAAGGGTTGGATTCAGCATTGGTGTCAGTAGTAAAGGAAGCAGGAGTAGGATCTAATATGAGTACTGAGAATGAGTTAATGCTTCATCATCAGCGTTTGGGACACTCATCATTTAGAATAAGAGTGAAGTGTTTGGGTGCTTCCAAAACTTTCATAGGAATGTTCAGACTCAATACGGAGCAGTGGTGAAGATATTAAGGTCGGATAATGGGACAGAGTATACCAACAGAGCGTTTGAAGAATATTTGTCAGCTCAGGGAATACATCATCAGACGACCTGTTCATATACACCAGCTCAGAATGTGATAGCGGAAAGGAAGAACAGACATCTTTTAGAGGTTGCTAGAAGCATGATGATCTCTATGAATGTCCCAAAAACATTGTGGGGGCAAGCAGTGTTGACCGCAGCAGCGCTGATCAACAGAATACCCTCGAGAGTGTTGGATTGGAAGTCTCCGTGTGAGACATTGAAGGGAGATAATGGTGGGATTCTTCCACTTAAAGTGTTTGGCTGTGTGCTTTTTGTGAAGCACAACAGGCCATCTGTCGGGAAACTTGCCCCTAGAGCTGTGAAGTGCATCTTTGTAGGATATTCTGCTACCCAGAAGGGATATGTTTGCTGGAGCCCGGTGGAAAAAAGGTTGTTTGTGAGCATGGACGTGCACTTTCGAGAACTCGAGCCATATTACACCCGAAAGGTAACTTCATCCGTTGGTAACTCGCCTAATACTGGAAGTATGAGGCGAGAGGAGGAGAATGGTGAGAGAATGGTAAATATGGAGAAATCAAAATCTGAGAATGGTGAGAGATCAGAAAAATCAATATCCGTAACGATTCCTTGGGAAGGAGACTTGGTTGAGGAGGAGCAAGAGAATGAAGAAGAAGAGGAGAATGAGACAAGAGGTGTTAGACCACCGGCTCAGGGGGAACTACTTACCTATAATAGGAAGGGGAAACAAATTGCGGGAACAGTACCTACAGTGCCACTGGTGTCAAGTCCCTTGCCAACGTCTGCCCCGACTCCTGAGACACCTACACCACCATCAGATTCCTCTCAAGGTGATTCCATTCCTCTTCCTACTCATCCCACACCAATAACCGTACGGAGGACTACTCGCAGTAATGCGGGAAATCCTCCCGATAGATATGATTGGGATCTTGCTCAGTTTGTATCATATTCCTGGACTCTGTTACTATACCTAACAATTGGCAGGTTGCAAAGAAGGACCAGAAATGAAAAGCTGCTATGCACGAAGAGCTAAGGGCCCTTGAGAAGAACCGCACTTGGGAGTTAGTAAAACTACCAAAAGGGAAGAGAGCAGTTGGATACAAGTGGGTCTTCACTGTGAAGCAGAATCCAGATGGACAGGTTGAGCGCTACAAAGCACGTTTGGTGGCAAAAGGATATAGTCAGACATATGACATCGACTACGATGAGACTTTTGCACCGGTGGCAAAGATGGGCACTGTTCGGACCTTAATCTCTCTGGCAGTAAATGGTGGATGGAAGCTACACCAACTAGATGTGAAGAACGCATTTCTTCATGGAGATCTAGTGGAGGAAGTATACATGGAGATACCACTAGGATTCGGTACAGATCAGACAGTGGGAAAGGTCTGCAGATTGAAGAAGTCTCTCTATGGGCTAAAGCAGTCTCCTCGTACTTGGTTTGACAGATTCAGAAGGGCTATGATTGGTATGGGGTACCAGCAGATCAGCGCCGACCATACCGTGTTCTTTCGAAGAAGTGGAGGTCACATCACCTTGCTTGCAGTATATGTGGATGATATGATTATTACAGGGGATGATGAGAAGGAGATTGCCCAACTCAAAGTGAGACTAGGTAAGGAGTTCGAGGTGAAAGATCTTGGTTTGCTTAGATACTTTCTTGGAATAGAGATAGCTCGAGGAGCGGAGGGGATCGTCCTATCCCAGAGAAAGTATGTACTGAATCTTCTCAAAGAGACAGGAATGTTAGGATGCAAACCTGCAACTACACCGATCGACCAGAAGTTTAAGCTGTGTGCTGAAGCTGGAGAACCAGTTGATCGTGACAGATACCAAAGGCTGGTGGGCAGGTTGATCTATCTGTGTCACACACGTCCCGATATCTCTTTTGCAGTAAGCGTGGTGAGTCGCTACATGCATGATCCAAGGAAGGGTCATATGGACGCAGTGTACCAGATTCTAAGGTATTTGAAGAATGCCCCCGGAAAAGGGCTAATCTTCAGGAAGAATGAACACATGAGCATTGAAGGCTATTGTGACTCTGATTGGGCTAGCTGTGCTGATGACAAGAGGTCCACCTTAGGATACTGCATCTTTATAGGAGGCAACTTAGTCTCGTGGAAGAGCAAGAAGCAGTCGGTGGTGGCGAGATCGACAGCTGAGGCAGAGTATAGAGCTATGGCCTTAGGAGTTGCTGAGTTGCTATGGTTGAAGAGTATGCTGGTGGAGCTGAAGCTGGATCAAGGAGCTAAGATAAAGTTTATCGCCAACAACCCGGTGCAGCATGATAGAACCAAACACATCGAGATCGATAGGTTCTTCATCAAAGAGAAGTTGGATAGTGGACTACTGGAGCTAAGTCATGTTCCGACTAAGGACCAGGCAGCAGATTGTCTGACTAAAGGACTTAGCTCAGTAGATATGATTAGAGGATGTGACAAGATGGGCTTAGTAGATATCTTTCGCCCATCTTGAGGAGGAGTGTTGATATATTAGTATTAGTTAGGGACTTATTTGTAACTTGTGTAGGGACCTATATAAAGCCCAAGAGATCTCATAATGAATTAGGGTTTTCACATTCTATATTAGATATTATTGGACATAAGTTCAGAAGAGCAGGAATATATAACATGAGCATGTTCTTTTGGATGGATAATTGTATGAAGAATGGTGATTTCTGCTACTATTTTTAGCTTCTTTGTTGGGCTTCATGTTAGCGAAGCTTTAGTGGAGCTGGCATCAGAGAATATAATTAGCATCACCTTACAACCAAATATGCAGATCTTTCTCAATGCCAGTGCCATAAGATTGGTTTCCATTAATTGCAATATAGAGGACATGACACTTCTATATGTAGGCTTAAGGAGTTGAGGACTTTCTTTTTCATATGTCCATGTTCACAACTATACACTTAAAATCAAATGAAGGCTTCTTACAAACTAGACACTTTCTTTTTGGCTAAATACCCATATTGGTATTTTAATTCAACCCCATTTACCAACAAGGTATTTTAATTAGGAAATTCGGCGATAAGACATTTTAATTGAATAAAATTACCATTTAGGTCCTTTTTCTCGTCGGCGACCACTTTTCCGGCGAGAACTCATCACGTGCGTTGCACGTGGGGGCTTAATCTGTGTTTAAGATGCTGATTTCCGACCGCCGAGACCCCCTGACCGCGCCGCCCAACGCCTGCAGCTGTCTGATGAGTCTTGTTTTCGCTGCTCGGTCTCCGAGTCTTGGGTCGTGATCATGGCTTGTTCCCGTTTCTTGTTTTCTTCCATCGTTGGAGGATGAACGGAGGAGTTTGTGTTGGGGAGCTCAAGAGGAATGAGAGAGAGAGAGAGAGGTAATGGAGTTTTTTTTTTGTTTCTTGCGATTCTTGATTGTGATGAGTTTCTGCGCGTCAGAAGATCACCTACAGAAATGGATGAAGTCTTGGGTTTATTGGGTTCTTGCTGTTGTGAAACTTTCGGGGTTTGAATTCTTTGTTGGAGGGACGAGCTACGGACGGATTATGGCTTTAGTTCCGCGGGGGTGACCTCGGCTGAGGGCGACGGAGGCCGGAGCGGTGGTCGAGGGGAGGAGCGGCGGTGGACGTGGGTTCGGGAAGGAGAAAACGAGAGAGAGAGAGAGGCGGGGAGATGATGAACAGTAGAGGGTTAAACACAGATTAAGCCCCACGTGCAACGCACGTGATGAGTTCTCGCCGGAAAAGTGACCGCCGACGAGAAAAAGGACCTAAATGGTAATTTTATTCAATTAAAATGTCTTATCGCCGAATTTCCTAATTAAAATACCTTGTTGGTAAATGGGGTTGAATTAAAATACCAATATGGGTATTTAGCCCTTTCTTTTTCTAACCAAATAATAGGCATGCTCTACCCATTGTTTCCTTGTCAGCTTTTAATTCTCTAATGGCACAATTTTAACTTTCAGTATATTTTCTGTTTGCTTTGTGCCTTTTTGCTGGTCACTTGTTGAGCTTGAAAAAATCTCTCTTTTATTTTTGCCAAAAAAACCTTCTTGTTTTCTGGCTTTCTGGTGATTGAGCTTTTTGTCTTTGGTATCCTTCAGAGTTTTCTGGGTTATTTGCCATTCAACTATTTTGCCCTTGGTCCCTTGTGATAACAAATTAAACTTAATTCTCCTGAAACTTCTTAGGTCGAATCGGAAATTTTTTGCCTGCATGGTGGGTTATCACCTTCTATCGAGAACCTTGATAGTATACGCAACTTCGATCGTGTTCAAGAAGTACCTCATGAGGGTCCTATGTGTGATCTCTTATGGTCTGACCCTGATGATAGATGTGGTTGGGGGATTTCTCCCCGTGGTGCAGGATATACTTTTGGCCAGGTACTTCAATGCCTGTATCTTCAATTTGTGCGTTTGAAGTAACAGTCTTCTTGTTAACCAGGCCAATCATTATTTCAGGATATATCTGAGCAATTCAACCATAACAACAACCTTAAGCTGATAGCCAGAGCTCATCAACTAGTTATGGAAGGATATAACTGGGGCCATGTAAATTATCTTTTTCCCATTTTCTGTTTTAGCTTACCAGATTTCTAGTTTAGTGTTCGTTAAAGGTTAGAATGTCATGGAAACAGGAACAAAAGGTGGTAACCATATTTAGTGCACCTAATTATTGCTATAGATGCGGAAACATGGCTTCTATCTTGGAAGTTGATGACTGCAAAGGCCACACTTTTATCCAGGTTGCTCTCTCCCCTGCCCCTTCTCTTTTCCTTCTGTCTCACTCTGGATATAATGGCCACTGATTATTTTGAAAATGGCTTTCCATCATTGCAGTTTGAGCCTGCTCCTAGGAGAGGTGAACCTGATGTAACTCGTAGAACACCTGATTATTTCCTCTAACACAATTATTTGTGAAGGCATATTACGGCGTTCCTTTAAGCAAGCGTATATTTTCTATATGAGATCGTAATTGCAGATTTTTCTTGAGATCCTGATGATTAACTTGGCATTTTTATGAAAGCAGTGAAGCCTTTGGTAGTGGTAAGATAACATGTAGAATATCGAAGGCTCCCCAGAAGTCTGTCTCTAAGTTACAAACCCTTAATTTGATTCTTTTGTGCTGGGAGGCAACAGAGCTGGCAGGGCATCAACAATAGCAGCAGCACATATCACTTGTTAGAAAACTCTGCGGTCTTCTTAAGCCTTATTATCTTCTTTCTATTTTGTCAATGACTTTTGGTTTGTATTGTATAAGTATATTTTTCCCTTAGTAGAAGAAAAATACTCCTTATTGTGGTTTCCTCAAGTTAGGTTCACCTCAACTGAACTTGCAGCTTGCTCATAAACTGCTTCGAAACCCGTTTTAGTTGTATATTTGGGCAGAAGCTCCTTATATTATAAATAAATCTGATCCTGTTAGATGTATGATGTATGTGTATCAGTTATCTTGTCTACAAGGCATCAATTTTTTTTTATATCTTCTTAAAAAGCAAGTTGAATTTGTCTCTGTTAGTTAGTTTTGTGAGATAGTTTGGTGCCTTAATTTTAATCTTCCAACTGCCACTGCTGCGTCACCGTGAATTACGCCTCAGTAATCATGAGTAATTTTTGGATGTTTGTATGTGGTATTGTATAAACTGATCAGAGATATGTTATGGAGTCGGGCTATTTGGGTGTTTTGAGATAGTGATTTGTAAGCTGGTGGTT